TCACTTCCTTGTGGCTGCCCCAGATGTGGAGCTGCCCTCTGTTTCCCTCACAGCTATCTGACTTCTCTCTAAGGCTGTGAATGTCACGCTTTTGCCAAGATGGTCCGAACCTGGGCTCTCTGGAGCCCTTCCTCTCCCTCTGAGAGCTGCAGCGTGTGGCGTTTATAGATGAATCATGTCAAAACTCAGCCTTTACACAGTTACGTGTGCTCTGGGGCACTGGGAACAAGAAGCTGTTGCTGTGCCAGGAACACTTGTGAACAGAAGAAGCTGCAGTCCATCTTAGTGACTGCCTGTGTGCAGCTGCGATTTGCAGCCTTGTTCTTAGAGGAGCTGTTCATGTGAAGGTCCCCAAAAATGTGTTCTGCCTGAAGGAATTGTCTCCTTATCTCTTGGTACCCACTTCCCAGCTGTGTATCCTCTCCTCTCTGCCTGTAAAGCTAGCTCCTGCTTGCCTTGCCTCTCTTCTCTGTACTTCCAAGATGAAGTAGGGCTGTAGATGTAAACATGCCTGCCAGTATTTCCATCTGTAACTTGGACAACAGTGTGAGTGTTGCCAATAGGGCTGACTTAGCCTGGGGAGATTCTCTGAGGACCTGGAAAGAGAGGGGGGTAATCCAGGGATTAATTCAGCATTTTGAGCCTGGCACCCATGCCATCCTCAGCTGCCTGTTACCTGCCAGGCCTGGAGGTGGTTGGAGCTTTGCTATGCCTTGGGCAGCCCCACATTGCAGCAATGGGTCCCATTGGCAGGCACGGTTACCTGCAGCAGCCCAAGACTGATCTGTGCTAACCCGGTCTTCTGTTACCTCTTTTGTGCTGCAAAGTGAGAGGGATCAGAGTGCTTGTGAAACACCAGAGGAGAAGAGCTTTGCTTTAGAGAACCCGGAGGAGGAGGAGGCCGTGGCCCCGGAGTCGGAGGAGGGCTCGCTGGATATCCCAGGCAATCTGGAGGAGCTTGCTGCCCCACAGGAAGCGTAAGGGCTTTCTTTAAGTCCCTGGTGTTGTAAACATAACAGCTTTTGTCCCTTTGTTCCCCTTTGTGGTGTTTGAAGCTGGGGTGTGAAGTCGGCGCACCAGGAGATGCGGTTTGGTGGGCACAGCAGTGCTCCAGCATCTCCATATGCAAATCCAAGCAGCTGTTTCACTGGCCTGAGTGCCAAGTGAACAGCCTGTCCTGGGGAGGGCGAGAGCAGCAGCTCAGCCCTTGGGCTCTGTGGCACAGGAGCCGTGGGATGGAGGGAGAGCTGTTTGCTTTGTGCTTGGAGAAGCCTCCTCCTCTCTGCCAGCGTCGCTAATGATGCTGGAAGCGTTCACCCTCCTTTGGTGGATGCTTTCACACAGACTCCTGAGCTCGGGAGGGGGGAACCACAAAACCCAACGAATCACCCCAGATTTACAGTCACTGGAGCACTGGTTGCTTCGGGATAATATGGTCAGAGCACAGGATGCAGAGCTGAGGTTCTTGCTAAAGCCAGTGCTCTGCTGCTGCACTGAATAGCTGGTCTTTGTGGATCCATACCCGCAGTTCCTCTGCCATAGCAGAGCTCAGTAGCAGTGGTTGTGCTGACTTTGCTTTCTGTGCCAAATGACAGCCCAGCAGGTGCAATGGGGAAAACAGGCAGTGCCTCTCAGGACTGAGGGCTGGAGAAGGGATCTTTGATGTGGGGACCAGCACAGGATCTCCCTTTTCCTCCTGGGAATCGCATTGAGCTGTGTAAATGTGTGTGTTGGCCAGATGTGTCTTTAAGCAAGAACTGGGGCAAAAAGGAGAACATGATAGAAGGTGGAAGTGGCAGAGCAGGAGATGAACAACACCTTCTGCAGGCACCTCTGCAGCAGGCCCAGAGTGCACAGCATTACTGGGGAGCAATAGGGAAGTGGGGTTTTTCCAGAACCCAACTGTCTTTCCTCTGTCCTGTTCTTTTTGCTAATGGCTGCAGAAGTGACCTTTTCTCTTTTGACTCAAGCCTGTATTGCCAGGGCTGCTATTTCCCTGATTCTTGGCAAAATACAAGTCCCTCTGCCTTGTGCTAGCACAGAGCATGATGAGACCTTGCTGCTCCAGCTTTCACTAGCAAAGAATAAGGTTTTTTTTTTTAGACTAATCTTCATTTTCCCCTCTTCCCCCTTCAGCCTCTCTCAGACCTTATAATTTTGCTGCTCTCTGTCTGAAAAAACTTAATTAGAAGCAGATTGGGTTTGAATTTGTGGAGTGCTTTGGGCTTTCTGTTGCCTGGAGCTGGCAAACTCCCAGCACATTTCAGACTGCAATGGCAGGAAAGTACCTGGTCCAGCACACAGGTACTGCCTGCATCTGCTTTAGTGCCTGGCAGCCTCACCAGGCTTTCAGAGCTACTAGAGCCTTCCTGTTGCCCTTACAAGGTGAGCTCTGGTGGGACAAACCAGGAGTTATGAGGACCTGAGTGCTGCTGGGGCTATCAGAGTTCCTCTGGGAGTCAACCCATGGGGGCATCCCCACACTGGTACCTAATATGACGCGCTGCTCACCTTGAGCACCTTGAGTGTGTGCTGTGTGTTCCCAACAGCATTGTGAGGAGTGCTTGTGTTTGCCCACCTTGTGTCCTGCCTCTGTGCCCTCTGCCTGCCTGTGCTGCTGCTGTTCCTCACCTCCTGTGAGCTGCACAGCAAGTGGATGCGGTCCATTGGGATTCTGTGTGTCCTTTCCCTTGGACAGTGAAGTTTCCAGAGGAGGTGGCTCTGAGATTCTTGGTTTGGGAGGATGTTGCTGTTCCTTAATGTTACTCAGTTTTCCATCATGCTTTTGCCAAAAGAGCCTTCTCTTTTTGGTAGGCAACCCGAGGAGCAACCTGAGGAGCAACCTGAACACAAGCAGTCCTTGAACCAGCCTGGTGAGGAATCCCTGGAGGGAACAGCCAATGAGCTGGAGCACAAGCAAGAGATAACGCATTTATTGCAAGCACAGGAGGAGAAAACTCAGCAGTTCCAGGAGGAGATGAGGCAGACAGAGGAGGAGGAGGAGGAAGCAGAGAAGCTTTATCAGCAAAAAGAAAAATCCCTCAGGTACTTCCTTGTTCTACTCCATCTCTCCCCTGTTTCTCCTCTGAGCTGTGATTTCATTGCTGGTGGCCACAGGCTTGGGCTGGTATAGGCCATCACCTTGGAGGTGGTGCTGCTTAGCAGAGTGGTTGCCAAAGCAGGCAAGAACAAGGCTTTTGGAGAGGAGGAGAACAGGACTTTTTACCTGGCACAGACAATGCTGTGTATGAGGATGTGCACATCTCGATGAGCAGGTCTGTTGTCAGTGCTGTGTGTGGAGAGCACGGCCTGCCTCAGGAAGAGGAGAGAGCATTCTCCTGCAAGAAGAGCTCCGGTTCCATACACATGCAGCTTGCAGAGCTCTGAACCTGTCTCTTATGGTTAACCTGGGAGAATTTTCCAGCTTGGTGCTTGGAGCTTTACCGGCTGGCCAGCATTCAAACCCTGGCTAGATGCTAGGAACAGGACTGCAAATTGGAGCATTAGAGGAGATGAGGTTACCCCAGAGGAACTATCTGAACCTCTGGTACTCTGTGTTTTACAGAGGGACTTCCAAACAAGGCTTGAAGGAATAGGACTTGGATGCCTGTGTGAACCCCAGCCAGTGCATGAGGATCTAATAGCAATCCAGGGAGTGGAGCAGCACTGGGGGCTGTGTCTTCTGCTGAAAAAAGTTTTTTCTCTCAAGGCTTGTATTTTATTTCAGGGGGCCTTGATACTTATGTTCTTAGCGTGCTGAGCCAGCCAGAGACAGTGTCTTGACAAGGGACAAATGGCTGTGCAGTAATAAAGTAGTAGTAAAAAGGGTGCTATACGAAAATATGAAGCTTACAGATGTGCTGATGGATCCGGGTTCCTTGGCTGGGAGCCTGCTTTCGTTTACTGGGAGTAGATTCAATTTACCAGGGCAACACCCAGCCCCAAGTACCATCCACTGTAACAGAGGTTTGCTGCTCCTGTGCCAGCAGCCAGGTTCTGGTGCACAGAGGAGAATTAATGGTCTGGAGCCCTGAGAATGCCTCACTTGGGCAGGCACAGCCAGCGGGAGCAGCAGCTCGTCTGTACCCTGGGGGAGGAGGTTTGAAGATATTAAAGCCTCCTGAACCTTTTCTCTGTATTTGGCTGCTCATCTCTCAGGACTCTACAGGAAGATTTGGCAAAGGTCTCTGAGGAAGAAGAGCTGCTTATTAGAAAGGAGGAAATGGAGAGACTTGCAAAGCTGCGAGCCGAAATTGCCTCAGAGACTGAAGCAGAGGAGGAGAAGATAAGGTGGGAAGTTTTGCTGCCATCCCTGGGGATGTAAACTGCTGGTTTGGGAGGGAAGCATCTCACATGCCACCAGCAACTGCTCCAAGTGGAGGTGCCTCCTGAGCCTCCCGTGGCTGGTACCCTGCCTTGGTAGCAAGTAGGAAGCCCTTACTGTGATGCTGTGTTGCTGTGATGTTGGACCACAGCTCTGGGCCATGGAAATAAAAGAAATGACACCTGTAAGGATGGCAGCACTTGTCAGAGTAGTTTGGTTTGGGTGGATGTCTCTGTCTAACAGCTCTTAAGGCCTGTGAAAGCAATTGGAGGAGGCAGACACTGGAAAACCTACATTTGGTTATTTCCTGTTTCACAGATGACACTTCTCCACCTGGTTGCTTTGCTGTTTCTTTCCAAGGCTTTAGTTGGTACGCTTGTGAATGGTGTGCTGTGGTTCTCAGCTTCTTCTGGCTTGCATGTGCTGTCATGTAGCAGTGTCTTCTCTTGGCTCTGGTTCCTATATAGAGTCCAGTGGTAAAGTACCAACTTCTGTCTGTGTTCTTGTTGCAAACCTACCAGGGCAGAGCAAGAGGTCACACTGCAGAAACTAAGAGGAGAGTGGGAAATCCAGCAGGTCATGGAGAAGGAGAGCCTGGAGAGGAAGCAGCAGCTTGTTTTGGAGAAAATGAAGCTGGAAATGGAGGAAGCTCAGCAGAAAGAGATGACCAAGCTGGAGCAAGAGAAGGAACAAGCCCTGAGTGAGCACAAGTTGAGAATAGATGGGGAAAAGAAAAAGGTGAGATCTTTATGGGCAGCTAGGGTCAGAGCCGAGCTGTTCACGCTGACCTGGCTTGCATTGTAAAGCTAATGTTTTGAGATGACATAACACCAACATGTGTTCTAACAATGACTCACTAAACACAGAGGAAGGATGCTAGGTCTGCTGTTAGAGATGTGATTGAGGTGGGGAGGAGTACTCCCCCAGGTTTTATTACAATGGTGATTAAATAACAATTATTTAAATGGCCACGTTCCATCTGAAGAAGGGAGAAATATTGCTGTGTGTCTGTGCCAAGCTGAACCAAGCCACTTTATCAGATCAGCTCTTTGGCTGCTGCTTTAGTCCTCCTGAGAGCCTGGGCAGTTCTTGGATGGAGGCAGTTCAGAGTCCTTCCAGCACAGCATGATTGAGATCCACTGAGATCTCCTTGCATGTGCTCTGGTTTGGAAGGGGTTTACCATTGTGCTTTTTTGATGCTTGTGGATAGGTGATAATTGCAAATGCATCTTGTGGGGCGTGTCCCCACACGTAGAGGTTTTCCAGCAGCCTGTCTTGCTTGTGTTCCTGTAGGCAGTGGAAGAGCTGGAGAAGCAGTTTGCAAGTGAACTCCAGCAGTTGAAATCAGCAGCGGAAGAGAAGCATCGTAAGGTAAGAGATGGTGTCCTTACAGTGTAAATAGTTTTCTCCCACACTGCCACCAAAGGTGCCCAAGGAGGGTGTTGGTAATGTTTTCCACTTGCTAAATGTGCTTCTGGTCTGGCTCAGCATTTGGACAAGCTCCAGGCAGGGGGAGGTGGGACTGCACACACTGGTCTTTGCCGTGCTGCGTGCTCTCTGTAGGAGGACACTGAATGGATCTTGTCAGAAGGGTGACAAATCTCTGGGGGTGGCTTTCATGGCAGGTCATTTCCAGCCTGCAAACCCAGATAGCAGAAGCACAGAGGAGGGAGAAGGCTCAGCTGCGGGAAGACTTGCAGAGAGCAGAGCAGAAAGTGCAGCTAAAAGCCTATCAAGTAGCCGAATACGAACGCGAGGCAAGTATTCACCTTGGACTGCTGGTGGTCCTTCACCCTCTCTCTTTGTTCGTGTGGTGAGGTCTGAGAGGCCACATCCCCGGCCTGGGGGTGACCTGGTGCCTGAGGGGAAAGGACACCCCTGCAGCATCTCGCCTCACCAGGGTGCTTTGTGCTACCCAGGCCACAGCCTCATCCCACTTGCATGGTACTCTGAGCTTCAGTCCCTCTGCTCATGTGTGAGGGGTCGTTCCCTGGGGGTGCTGCTGGAGTGTGGGGCTGTAGTTCAGAGGAACATCTTCCCATGTCATCCCTGCAGCTCAGTGAGCTCATGAGAGAGAAACGCCAGGAAGTGGAAAAAGACCATGAGAGGAAAATGGAGAGGATGAAACAGGAGCACCAGGAGGCCCTGGCACGAGTGCAGGATCAGTATGAGGAGGAGGTACTGCTGGGCCAGAGCAGCGGGTTTGGGAGGTGACTAGTGTCTCGCTCAGTTGGGCTGAATCTGGTCAGAGACAGCTACTTGCCAGTCCTGCCTATCACAGCCACTGCTAGAACTGGAAATTGTCTTTCTGGGCATTGTTGCCACGATGTAAAGTGAGTTTAGGCTGGGGTTATAAGGATAAGCTGTCAAAATAGTCTCTGTGCAGGCAACTTCCACATGCTTTTGTGGATTTCTGCATGATTGGTCACATTTTTGTGGGTACCCGTTCTGGAAAGCCTTCTGCCTCCCATTTTTGACCATACAGTCAGCAGTATGTGACACTACCTTAGTTTCATGGGCTGTTACTTCTTTCTTGAGCCAATTCCATAAGTGTTGTCCTTGTAAGCAAGAGATTCTAAGCTGCTGTATTAGGTGTTTGCTGTGGGCTGGCTCTCTGTGCAGCCGCGGTGCCTGGCTGGAGAACCCTGAGCCTCACTCAGCGCTGTTCCTGCTTGTGTTTGGCACCAAACAGGAGAGGAAGCAAAGAGCAGAGCTGCAGGACGGCCTGCGGGGCGAGCTGGGGCGCCTGCGGCAGCGTCACGAGGCGGAGGTGAAGGCGCTGCAGGCAGAGCTGGGCGAGCGGCTCACAGCGCTGCAGCACGGGCAGCGGGAGAAGGTGAGGGGCTGCTTGGCATGGCCTGGGTGCCCTGGCACCTCGGTGTGTCTCCCACCCTCTACACCACAAGAGCCAGGACACGCTTCCCCAGGTCTTGGTGTTCCTTGTGGTGGCAGAGCTCTGCCTGGTGAGGGAGGAGCTGGTGCTCTTCTCTTTAACTCGGCATCTCTGTGCAGGAGAGGAAAGTGCAGGAAATGGAAAGCGAGCTGGAGATGCGCATGAAGAATGTGCAAACCAGATCAGCACAGCTCCTGAGCCAGGTGAGTCCCCAGGGGTCTCCCAGCCTCTGCTGCTTCCTCATGGGAGGCTTTGCAGAAGTGCTCAGCCAGGGCTTTTGCTGCCATGCAGGTTACAGGCAAAACTTCCACCTCCAGTCAGGCAGGGCTAAGTGGTCCTGGCAGTACAGCCTCGTGGCTGGGCTTTGCAGTGAAAGACAGTAAGTGGCTGTAAAAGTGACAGGGGGATCATTAAAGCCTTTCAAGGTGGCATGTTCTGCTCGGCATCGTGTCAGATTTCAGTCAGCCCCTTCCTGATTTTCCTCCTCTTCTCGCTGCTGCTGTGGAAAGAATGAGGGTTTCTGGATCTTGGGTAGCAGAGTGGGAGAGGGAAGCACTCCAAATGCTCCAGTGGAGCTGGCAGAAATCACTGGCTGATGCTCTTGCCTGCCAGATCTCCTAAGTCCTGGCCTGTGCCAAGCGCTGTAGATAACGTTGCTTCTGTCAGCCCTTCCTTTCCCAGCAGCACTGGAGCAAGGAAGTGAAAAGGTGGAGAAATGTTGGAGGCAAGCAGAGGCTTCACAAAAGCAGGATCCTGCAGAAATGGCCACGAGCCCTGAACACGTCAGCTGAGCATGAATTGGGATGCAAATGTTCCCAAATTCTCCCTTGAAGTCAAATAGAGGAGGGGAACTTGAGTGTGGGGAGGGGAATAAAGCAAAACTGACAACAGTCCTCGGGTGTTTTGAAATGGCCTTGAGACTTAGGCCTGACCTGTGCTGCAAGTGCTGTTAGGCATCAGCATCTCCTCTGTCTGACACTCACCTACTTTCTCACCTGTGTATAGGAGGAGTCTCTGAGGAAGAAGAGGCAGCAGCTGCTGGAGGAAGACAGGCAGGCTAAGCTGGAGCGAGATGTACGTATGCCTTGGCTCTGGAGAGGTGCTGTGCTGCTCTTCCTTTGGGGGCGAGGGCAGCACACTACAACTGTGGCTTTGAAGAAGCAAACTGCTTCTCCTGAGTTGTGAGTGTGAAGGTCTGGAGTGTGTTCCTGCTGGCAGTTTGATCAGCTCCAAGCTGTTTCCCAAAAGAAGGAGACAGTTCTGTTCCTCCAGGATTGGCGCGTGGTGTGTGTGTGTGTAGCTCTGGGACCTCCTGTGAGCTGAGCAGGTAGCCAGCTCCTGCACGTTGTGTGCCTTTTGCTTTGGTGCTGGGGAGACAACTGTGAGGGATTCTTTGGCTTTCTTCTAGGAAGCTGCTTTAGCCTCTCAGCTCCGGCTAGAGGAGAGCAGGAAGGAGCATTCCAGCCTCCTCGAGTCCATCCGGCAGCTGCAGAGGTCCGTGGAAGAGCTCCAGGACAAGAAGGCTGAGCTGGAGGCTCAGGTGGACTTGCTGCAGACCCGAAAGCAGAGGCTACAGACACGCAAGAGGTGAGAGCATGAGGGATTTCCTCTGAGGCAAACACATCTACCCTCTGCCCCTGACAGAAACCTAACCTGGGCCTCTCCCTTACCTCTGAGCTGCTCCTCTGCTGGGCCACACTCCTTCAGAATCCTAATGGTGGGTTTACTGTGTGTTGAGGGCACGGGGGTCTGTTTCCAGATCTGTTACTCACTTGCTGTGTAATTTTATTCCTTCACCTCTGCCTGTCAGGTTAATTTGTCTTTTCCCCACCTGTCTGGTGAGGTTAATAAGATGCTTTGAAAGTCAGGTTGCTGGGCTAGATGGACCTGCAGTGTAATCAAGTGTCACCACTGTTGCCTTTTGTGTGGCAGTGAGCTGGACGCAGCCATCAGGAGCAAACAGGACACTTTGAAACAACTGGAGGAAGAAGAAAGTGTGGAATCTCCAAAAGAGAAAGCTGAGCTCCGTGCTGAAGACCTGAGAGAAACTAGTCCAGCTGTGAGTAAAGCAGACTGTAAAGGTGCTTGCCTTGTGAGATCTGAGGCTGCAACTCCCTTGAAAATCCCAGCTTTTGTTCCTTCTGTATGAAGTCAGTTGAGATGCAGTGATGCATTTTTCTTTGCCAGGGGACATCAATATGTTTAGGGCTGATTTCTGTCTCTTATTACTGGGAGGAAAGGAGTGTGGGATACTTGAGTGCCCTTGGAGTCAAAACAGGGATAGAAATGTCTTTGTTACTTTTCAAAAGTTCCATGAAGAACATCTCTGGCACTGATTTTGGATCTGGGCAATACCTTGGTGATGTCATTCTGAATTTTGACTCCTAATTGGATTCTTACGGGGTTCCAGGGTTCTGTTTCACATACAAATGTCAGTTGTTTCCATGTTTCAATTCCTCAGTACTCATCTGGAGAGCCTGCTTCCCCACCCGCCCAAAACCATGAGGACAGCGACCTCCAGTTTGATCAGTGAGTATCTTACACCAACTGCTTCTAGAGGAGGGTTTGCTTTGGTTTTGCAAGCAGGAGAGCCCAGCACAGGAAGGCAGGAGCATTTCTGTCTCTCTCGCGTAGTGTCAGGAACTACATCTCCGCGGAAGGGATCTCCATCA